ATTACGTTTTGCTACGATCTATGGCGTCATAATATCATAACGCAACGTCATGGCAGCATTCCCGCTAAATAGGCACGTGACTGTTTTGTATTTTTCAATTTTTCGACAGTGAAACGAGTAAAACTGAGAGGATAATACACTTAGACTTAGTGAAGAAAAGAAGGAGGATTAACGCTTGCTTTTGTCTGTCCTTTGTTCCTTTACTTGCTATTTTAAGTTTAATTAATTATTTCATAAATATAATTAATTGCATCGTTAATTTAAAGATTTTATCATTAATATATCTATTTGTAATCAATATATTTAAATTAAATTCTAATCGTTTCGCCCAGGTCTTAAATAAATAAATAAAAAATAATAATGATGCTTTTTCGGGGGAGGAGGGAGCAGGATCGGTGAAATCTAACCCCCCTCTAGAAAATCCTGGATCCGTCCCTGATAATAACAATGCACCAATCAACCTTTACCATTCCTCAATACAATGTTTCATTGATAATGCTGATCCATCTGAAGAATTTGTCCCTCCGGAAAAATCAGCCATTTACATCTTTCATCGTTTTGAAAAGTACGGCTAGAAAAACTAAACGTTTGGTTAAAGTATTTGTCAAATCTTAAGTCAATTCGTTATGCTGTGTTGAATTAATTGGATGCTTGATTCAATATAACCAAAACAAATTGTTTTCGGAGGGGAGGAAAGCGCTAAGTGAGTGAGAAGGGAAGTGACGTTTTTGTGACCTATATAGCTCCCATGCTTTCCAGGAAAACGCGTGTTGGTCGATTTCTACTTGTGTAGTTTATGAAACCAGTGATGTGATTACGGCGATTGTTCGTGGATAGTGCTAAAGGTGAGACTTTCATGTGTGAAAATGCCAAGAAAAACCAATTGTAAGATATATTGTTAAAACTTGTGTTAATGTAGTTGCACAACTTTTTTTCATTAAAATCAATTCTACTTGCTTACAAACCGCTGATTTAATTAATAATTAAAATTACGAAAGTTATGTTTTATTTGGAATGGGCCAAATACATCGATTTATATTTTGCGTATATTTAGTTAGATATACAGTATCTAATTGCACACTGCATATGGTTTTTAGTAAGCTTTGATAATAACAGAAAATGACTGAAAACTTCATGGTGAAAGAGCCGAGGCAGGGAAATCAGAAATGGAAAAAAGAATCTCCGCCTATGCTGGCTTTAAACGTACATATAGTGCATACGTAAAATTTAAAGAAGATTACAGTTAAACATTTTAAAAAGAAAATATGCCATTGATCTCTCCACATTTTTGTAGTTGCATAGTACAGGTACCATATTATGACTATTCCAAACTACAGGGTATTTGCAAGTCGTACATGTATTTTGGCTCAAACATATTTAAGTTTTGCACTTTGAGAAATATGTTGCAAGATTTATAGTTTTGTAAATTAACCAGAACATACACGGGGGAACAATGAATTTATTTTGTTAAGATTGGAAACCACACGATGACCAACCAACTCTAGACTGGCACTGAAAATTATGAGCACACTGAAAGAAGGAGCACAGACCAGAGAGAATGTTAATCCATTACCAGACAATTTAGATGAATTTGTTTAATTTATAAATAAGGTCTTTTTTTTTCAAATTTTTTTGAAAGTGACAGAAAGCCTATGTATCAGCCAGAATAAAAAGGGAATGAAATGTTCATTGCTACAGTTGAGACAAGGTGCAGTGCGTTTTGGAACAGCCAACTGCATTGGGATAACAGATCAGATTAACTGAAACTAGTTCTTGACAAACAAATTCTTTGTATTCAGGGATGAGGTGGTCCCAAAAAGAAAAAAAAAATAATAATTATAATTTAGTTTGTATTAAAATGTGTATTAAAACAAGTTGTCAGCAAAAGTAGTCCCTGCTCTTTGTGTCCTGATGGAGAGAGTGCCAGGTTTACTGGAAATTATTGATTGCATGTTTAGCCTTATATGTGTAAAAAAAAAAAAAAAAAAAAACTAAAGGAGATTTAGACTTTATGTAACATCGACTCAGATACTTTGGGGGTTGAAAAATTGGCTCAAGCAATGCATAGGTCTGTCAGTATTCATAAAATTTCAACTTTACCAATTGAAAGAAAAAAAAGAAAGAAAGAAAAACCCCATTTCTGTGAAACAACATTTTATTAGTTTAGGATAAAATCCCGTTATACATTTTTTTTGGTGAGGGGTAACATTGAGTCTACAGGTATTGCAGTGCAGTTCGAAAGCTTTAATATATTTAATCTGTCTTATTTCTTTAACTATTCATCAGTCCTTAAAGTGTGTTGAAGATAAGAAAGTGGCCACTGCGACCTCACAATCTTTATCTCACAATTCACCAGGCTTAAGCAGCATAGATTTAAAACCAGATCCTAGTGCGTCAGTGATGCCACAAGAGGACAGGACATCTGGGGCACCACCAGTGGGCAGCACACCCAGTAAACCACCAGAGGGCAGCACACCAAATATGCCACCAGAGGGCAGCACACCCAGTATACCACCAGAGGACAGCACACCCATTAAACCACCAGTGGGCAGTACACCCAAGGTACAACCAGAGGGCAACACTCCCAAAGTACCACCAGAGGGCAGCACACCCAATAAACAACCAGAGGGCAGCACACCAAGTATACCACCAGAGGGCAGCACACCAAGTATACCACAGGAGGGGGAAAGTGAAGGAGAACAATTACAAGAACAGCAACAAGTCCATCCAAAATCCCATGCTGATGGCAGTTTGCCAGATGATATGGACAATACTGTGAAAAATGCTGAAGGTTCATTTTTTTTATTAGTAATAACACACCCATTTTCAAATCGTTCCCACTTCTCTTTCACACAAACCACAATTTGTTAAGTTATTTAGATATTTTATTTGATTGAAATATAAAACATGCATACACAATTAGAAGTTGTTATCCACAAATAAGGAGTTGTCCTTTTTTATCATTTAAGATGGGAAGTTGTATTTTTCAAAAGATGAATTATGTTTATTTGTATTTCATATAGTAATAATAAATAAACCTTTTTTATAGCTGATGCTAACCTGGTTCCTCCAAAGCGCCCAAAAAATGGATTCATTCGTTTCTCCATCCAATATCGCAGAGAGATTGCCAGACGACATCCCAAACTTGACAATCGCGAAATATCCAGGATGTTAGGTTCAAAATGGAGGAAGATGACCAAAGAAGATAAAAAGCCATATGAGTAAGTATAGTGTTTACTACACACATTTTTATATTGTCATTTGCAGTACAGACTTCCTTAAAGTAGGATTTTTTCAATCTAATTTGGGAAAAGTTTTTTGAGATGAAGTAATTCCCACGCAAAAATGCAGTAGTATCCAAGTAGCAAAAAAGCATTAATGCAGTAGTGGTGTGGAGCATATTTGCAGTAGAAATGCAGCATAGCCTACTGCAATTCTACAACAAAAAGTACATAGGTTTGCACAGAGAGGAGCATTAATGCAGTAGATTAGCAGCATGATAGAAGCATGTTTCAAATATGCTAATTAGCTTCCAAATCGAAGCAGATTTGAATCATGTTTGCAGTATGATTGCAGTAGTCTATTGCGGTTTGCAGTATGATATTGCGTTTTCTTGCGGGATAAGATAACTCCTCATCCTAATTCTGCTTGAAAAGATTGATCAATAAATAAATAAGTTAATTTCAATCATAAGTTGTTGAAGATCAAACACAACCAACAGACATGTATGGAAGTAAAGAAGTTGTCTATGACTGGGTTCCCATGCCTAGATCAATCTTACAGGATCGATCCATCTCCCAGGGGTTTCTCGTTAAATTGCTTTCAGCTTAAGCGGCTTAGATGGCTGGGCATGCCTACTGAAACTGCTAAACGATAATTAATTGCCCCTTAGCAGCTTCAGTAGGCGTGACAGATAGTTAAGCCACTTAAGTTGATTGATTTATCATTCAGAGTTGCATTCTTGGAGGAATTAAAGGAAACCAAGCAGAAGTACCCCAGTTGGTCATATGGACCCCCAAGACAGCGAGCAGATTCTGTCGCTGACCCCATGCCTTGTAGACTAAGGCCTAAGAGGACACTGAAGGTATTTTGGGTTTCAGTGGAAATGATTAATAATTTTGCTTTTCTTCCTTTTTATTTTATGTGTCAAGCCTGGGTTCAGATCTATATGTGCATGTGTCAGGATCACAACATGATTAATGATACCAGAAGAAGTACTCTAAAAATTTGTTGTTTTTGGTTTCTCATAACTGATTCATTTCAATTTGCAACTGCCCCAATGTGTAAAATTTTAATTGGTTTGAAAATTGCAAATGAGGCAGTTTGCATTACTCCCATGACTGGTCCATAAAAGATAGTAATTCTTTTCTTCTTATTTGAACCACAGCTTTCAGAACTGACTAGAAATTTCAAAAGTAAATGACAAACGCATCTGACCCATAAAAGAAAAATAGCTTGTATTGAAATTAAGGATCTTAGCCCTAGACACTGATTTTTTTTTTTTTTTTGCTTTTTCTTTTCTTTTTTAAATTTCAATTCAAATTACAGCTTCCACCACTGACAAGAAGTTACACAAGAAAAAAGAAAATAACAAAACCCTCAGACTCTCCCCCAAGCAAGAGTACCTGGGTGCAGTGTGACAGGTGCTCGAAATGGCGATGTCTACCAGTCACAGTTGATTTACAGAAACTTCCACATATATGGTATGTGTAACACTATAGAGTAATTCTTATTAGCATGTTTAATGATGGGTTCACTTCATTTTCATTTTTAAGGTCATTAAAATACATAAATTTTGGCAGATCTGGTCAGGTTGAGGGGGGGGGGGTGAGGGGCAATGCACAATGATGAAAAATTAACAGAATTAATATAAAAAATATTAAACAATAGATGAAGATAGTTTTACTATAAAATGTAGACCTTAAGTTGAAAATGTTGAGTTTTGTCTCTTCTGCTTGTGACATACTTGTAGTTAAATTATTTTGGGAAGAAGAAGGGAAGAGGGAGGTACCAGTACTGTCAGAATTGGGTGCGGGGGAATGTGCAAGCTGCATTACAATAATAAACATTAAATAGTAATATTAAATAGCATTGGACATTAAAACCAGTATATTTATGATGTATTTTAGGTTCTGTGAGTACAATCCTGACATTAAGTTCAACGGTTGTTATGTCCCAGAGGAGTCACTAAGAGAAGGAAGTTCCAGACCTAGTCCGAAGAAATTACACAGTCAGGATTCTCCAGAAAATCTGCTCCTACATTCTCCAGAGAATGGGAGCAAAGGTGTAGTGGTATCTGAAAATGTACTGCACAGTAGTTTACCAGTATCAGTACAAAATATCCAAAAGGTCACATCTCAAGAAAATCTGCACACTGAAAAATTTGAACGAAATCTACAGAATGGTGTGGCAGTTGAAAATGTGTGGAAAGGGACCACTGCAATAAATCTGCAAAGTGACATTGCATCAAATGTCACAAAAAATGGAATGCACACCAAATCTCCACAAAATGTAAATTGCACGGCTGATGCTTTTACTGGAATTTTAACAGGCCATGACCAGGTGCTCAGTAACCACCCCTTTTTAAGTCATTCATCAGTAAAAGAGGAAAGAGTAGCTTCCCGCGGAGGTCACTTTAGAAGAAATAATTTGCCAGTACACAAAAATCATGGTATTTCACTTCAACCCTCACCCTGCAACCCTACTGAACCTCACACAGTAAATCTGCTGCATGTAAGTAGGCCTACACAAGAACTCGTGCACAGTGGCACCTCACAGAGAAATCTGCACAATAATAGGAACTTGCACAATGGCAGTTTTATCGGAAACTTGCACAATGGTACCTCTAATGGGACCTTGTACAATGGCGCTTCTTCAGAAACTGGTCTACACAAGGAATCTTCAGTAGAGGCCATTCCAGATGGAAGCCCACTGCCAAATGGCCAGGAACAGTCCCAGGTTCATTCAGCATGCGATGCGTCGGACAGTGGAGCTATTGGTGTAGAGGATGGCCTGTCTTATTGTGGTGAAGAACTATATGATTGGCTCTGGGTTGTAAACACCAATCACTCGGACAGTGAGGACTTTGTAGATGTAGATGGAATACAGCCTAGTGTTTTGGAGATTGAGTTACCTTTTGATGCTGAAATGATGTAGACATTTGAAGTTTTTAGGGTCAGGTTAATAACAGGAGCGGATTCAGAGATATTTTCTGACAGTCTTCCAAATTATCTTTGTTGCTCTGTTCTTCATTTTTGACCGTCTTCCGACTGAAAAAATAAGATACCCGTCAATGTAAACTTGAAAATCTGACTGTCTTCCGGAAGACCCAGAAGATGCCCTGAATCCGCCCCTGAATAAGAGCGATATTTTACATGTTTAATATCTGCTTTGAACATGATTATTACTTGGAATTGTATAAGGGTTGAATCTATTTTTTGATCAGAAGTTTTTGTTTGTTTGTTTTTTTTTCTCATAAAATAGAATAAGATTGCGGATTTATGGCATTTGTAATGCATGATCTTGTAATAGGTTTGATTGTAATCATTTATAAATGTATGCATAGTTATTGAGCAGTCATACATATTAATTGCATGTACTTATTCAAAAGATTAAAAAGTAATTTTTAATTTATGATTTGTCAGACCATGATGTTGTGGAGTTGACATTTAATTAATGATTTTAATTAACATAATGATCATAGTTCATTTCATTGATTCATTGCATTTAAAATGTTACAAGAAAATAACTGTTTGGCAGGTTGATAAAGATATACGATTCCTGATCTAGAAAATATCCAATTAGTGCTTTGCATTACTTGTTACCATTGGTTTGACAACTGGTCATTTCATTGTAATACCTGCTGAAGAACAAGGACATTTCACAAGAGTACTTTTAAATTTTAAATTTAATGCAATTGGAAAGAAGAGCAACTTATTCCAATTAAATAACAGCATGTAATTTGTGATTTATAACATTTTTTTCTGGTTTCATATGGTTGCCTTTAAATAAGGTTGGTACATGTACATGTTCATGTAGCAAATGCACTGAGAACATAATTTTATTCTACATAGGTTCTGACTTCCACTGATTTTTTAGTTAGAAGTACCAACTACATGTTTAATATCTGACCAAGTGTCAAATTGTGTTGAATGAAAGATACTTTTTACATTTATTATAATAATTTATTTGATTTTAAACAAAACAATTTTTGCCAATTTTGCATATTATGTCTGATTAAACAATGATGATTTTACAGTTTGTCTGAAAATTTGTGATCATGGTTTTGCTTTATATTTAAAATTTACTTGTTTCATTTTAATTTAAAAAAAATTAAACAACATTGAAAGGTGTGCCGAAGTTTTATTTTTCACTCTGATAAAAGACAGATTTGAAATATAGTTCCGTCTTTTCATCAATTATGCAGGCCTGTAGCTAAGGGGGGTTTGGGGGGGGTTCGAAAAAAAACCTCCCTGCAGGGAAAAGGTCCTCTCTGGGTGAAATTTAATTAAGGTACATGAAAGTTTCATTGTAAAAGGTCCACTTTTTCAGAAAAAGAACCTCCCTTTTGAAATTTCTGGCTGCGGGCCTGATTATGTGTGCCAATTATTGCAATGTAAACAATATTTTAAGGTGGAGCTGTAATGTGGCTGCAGTTGAGTACTTCACAACATTCTCCAGGTTTGGGAGGATCTAGTTTACATCCAGGTGGTATTCCGACCTCTGTCCAATCTGTGCACCTGTTAATTAGAAAGAAATATAGTACCACAGTTATATTTATTAATTAAGTGCTTTACAACTCTCCCCAAGTTAAGGAAGGTCTACCACAATAGCAGGTTTTTTTTAAATTCTTGCTTCTCATTTCCCTGATGAACCAAGGCAGAAACTTTTTTTTATTCTTTATTCCTGCAATAATAAACTACATGAGTCATCATAGTTTCCACCTTCATCTAATCAGCGGTACCAATTGTCTTTGGTTGACAAAGTTTTCCCAAAAATTTAGCCTTACTGATGAACAGAGCTCTTCAGTTATTTATTTATTATTTATTTATTTATTTATTTTCAACATGCTTGTATTTTGATTTACGTGCAATGTAGCTACCGGTATTATTTTTTATACGTGCATGTATGTTCTTTATTCATTTATTATTAGTCATGTAACAAACTACTTTCTGTTATTAAAATAATAAAACCCTTCCCGTAATAAAAACAAACCCACTGCACATCTCAAAAGATAGATTGGACAAGACAGCAAATAATGTGGAAAATCTGGTTATTTTAGGAAACGCACTGCGCCGCCGCAGGCAAAATCACAGACGGTGCACCATTGCATCAGGTGAGACAAACAAGTTTGCTGTGCTGAGATGTTCGAGCACCTCTATCACACGCCTAACGTCATCCCCCATGTAGGCCTATATCATGAAAATCGATTACCCTGTGTTTCAATTACTGAATTAAGTTTTAAAAGACCTGACTTAATTTGGGATCACGGCATTTGGGATCCACACTTTTACATGAATAGTGGACGAGTCTTGCAGCATGCACTTTGGCGTTTTGCGTCTATTTGATTTAATTTCACGTATTTTGATGCCACACCCACCTTTTTGCGTCTCACATATGTACGGATGCGCGTCATTACACGCCTGGTCCCAAACAGTTCCGACACTATCTTGACGAATTAGTCCACAGGTGCTTCTTCTAGCTGTTGAAATAGACAGGGTTATGTTTTTTAAGAAATAAAAACAACTTTTTTAAAGGAAGCTAAATGCCAATATGCATGGGGAAAGTGACAGAAACATGTATAAAAATATGAGAAGGTTTTGACACTATGAATCATTAAAATTTTTCTCAGTGGCTCGTCTTGGATGAAAAAGCGTACAATATGACTGATATTTAAACTCGCCCGAGAGAGAGAGAGAGAGAGATATTTACCAGCTAAACATTTCTTTTTCTTAAAAAGTACTCCTGTCCACAACTTGCTGGCGGTTTGTGACCTAAAAAAACGTATCTCCCTCACAAATGAGCTTGCATGAAAATGTACTAGCAGTTTAAGTAAAGACGCAACTCAATAAAATAAAATAAAATAAATGTGCACTTTTTAAAAAACCCTAAAAATATTTCTTGAAATAACATAACATAACTTAATCATCTGAACTTTGCTTTAATGCATACTTGCGACCCACGGTATGACTAAAAAATAGGTGGAAAATGACCGTGACATTCTTACAAGTCCGCGATAAACTAAGGTCGATAATAACTCAAAAATTTATTATTATCGAATTTAGCATATGCTATATAGGGAGCTATAAGATACCGGTGTGTTTGTCGAGAGCTTAGCGCATTATTATGAGCTATCTCCCAAGGAAGATAAAAACTGAGCCTGTTTTCTGACGCAAAACAAATTACAGAGTATCTAATACATTAAAATGTTCAATATCTATCAAACATAGGATTGAGTGTTACCTTACGACGCAATTCACATAATTAATCCCGTCGTTGGTTATGTACGCCTTTATTCGGTAGCCGACCCAGAATTCTGTCGCATTCACAGCCCTGAGAGCATCGTACAGAAACGTCTGTTCTTCACGACTGCCAATCTCGGCAAGATGGCCACCGAGTTTCTGACAGTCGGTTTCAACCATGAGCCAGTTGGCTGCCTTGCACGATATTTTATACCATGTTTTGGGTTGATCCTTCGGAACACCAACCCATATATCAGAACAGGTATCGGCAGCTGAAGCAGAACGCAATAGGCAGTCTTATCGCTTTTTGCACACAATGTTAGGCACCATTCCCATACCTAGATCGATCCAGCAGGATCGATCCATCTCCGAGGGGTTTCTCGCTAAAGCCCCCGTTACACTTATTCGGAATCAGCAGGAATCAAGAAGAACCAGCCGGAATGACTAAATTTAAAAATTCGTACTACATTCGGGAAGAAATTTCAAATTGACCTAAATTCTTGTAAGAATGCCGTTGGAATACTCAGAATGCTCATGAATCCGCCTGGAATGATTCGTGCGCATTTCGGCTGCATTAGCTCTCAAATGCAGCTCGAATGTAGTTGGAAAACTAGGAATATCAATAATGCTGTCAGAATGCAGTCAGAATACTTAGAATACACTTTGAATGCCGTACGAGTGTAGTTCGATTGCTGGCTGAAATAGGATCGAGATGCATTCGAGTTGCATTCTGGCTCATTCTAGCAGGATTTGAAGTGTCTTGCCATTTCGGTTCTCCCTCGAATGTGATCAGAATGTTTCAAATGCTGTCGGAAATCCAGGAGAATATTTAGAGGGCGTTTCCAGAGATTTAGATCGATCTTACTAGATCGACCTAACTCCCTGGGGGTTCACGCTAAATTGCAGTCAGCCGACCGTGCACGGAAGTCAATTACCCCCTTACAGCTTGTAGTAGGCGGGACGAACATTTAAGTCGGATTATCTGACAGTAATTTAGTGAGACTCCCCACGGGGATAGATCGATCTAAAATCTATGGGAATGCGCCCTTAGAATGCAGTCATAGTGCAGTTAGAATACTATTCATATACCATTTTCCACTTGGAATGCACTTCGAAAGTTTTTAGCATGAGCAAAACATTCGGACCAGCCCCAAGAATGGGTAAAAATATTTGGAATGCACTCAGAATTTTAAGAATGCTCTTCGAATATCCAGGAACGCATAAAGAATTGTCTTTCCGGCGGCATTCTTGCTCATTCCTCCTCTAGTGTGACAGGGGTATTAATTACATTCAGCGTAAGCGGCTCTGATGTCTGGCACGCCTACTGAAGCTGTTAGGAGGTGATTAACTAATGTTTAGCAGCTTCAGTAGGCGTGCCAGACATCTAAGCCGCTTAATCTGAATGCAATTTAGCGAGAATCCCCTCGGAGATGGGTCGTACCTGTTAGATCGGTCTAGGTATAGAAATGGGGTCTTATTCTAAGATGTAAACTTGCACATTTGAAACTGAAGGTTAATTACCGTATATGGATGTATTTGTTTTTCGTGTACACCTCGACACGATTGAAGCAAATCAAAACATACTAGCTAACATATACGGATCCAACACTTACACAGTTGTTGATATGCTTTACATATACCACAACTATTAGTAGTTATAATTGAACTATTTCTGTGCATTTCAANTTCCGACCACTGTAAATATGAACGCTGCCAGGTAACGCGCCCATTCTCACCTTTCTGTTGGCTACCCGTTGAGTACCACAACGAAATCCAAAGAACAACCCATCCCAAAAGAGAATCCTGCCAAAGATGCACTCTCATGTTGTGTCCAACCAATAACAGAGACCGGCTTCGATTTGAGACAGGATTATGTGATCACATATTACTACGACGCGCTAAATTAATCTTGTTAGCAACCAAGTGCTGTTCAGACAAAGTTATACTTTCACGGATTCCGACCTGGTGTTTGGTCTGCTTGAGAAAACCACGGAGAGCAGAAGATATTGTTATATGAACATAATGCACCAGGAAGAGCTATAGCGTGGTAAACCAATCGTCTTTAATTCTTTCACGTACGTGTGACTAATTGACTGAATATATTTAACAACAGGTTTTGACCACAGATTGTAATATCACCCCAACACATCACTTGAATGATGTCGATGAAACAGAGGCCGGTTTGAGTCGGGCCAGATCTAAGCTAGAGTGAACTGGCCCTAAGGAAGGAGACTTATTTTTCAGTCGACACATATTTCAGGACGCGTGACATTGACAGTGTGCGCCGCGATGGCTTTTAGATGCGATACTGATGGTTGGGGTCGCCTAAGATAACCCTAAGTGTTAATAAATGTTTGTAAGGTACTACAGTACAGAGATGCATTATCATATCGATGTTTGACAGTTTATGGAAAAGGTACATGTACCACACTGTTTGGTGCACCTGCATATAACAACAGAATTCCACGGTCTGTATAGTACATAACCTAAGGTGCTTTGTCGGGGTCCATTTCTTTAATTGTGCAGGACCTTTTTTATTATAACCCCGGTCCCCACATCACATTAAATAACCCTTTATAATATAACCTCTGGTGTTGGGCACTATGGACTCTCATCAGTAGATAACGCGATCTGTAATAGGCCCTACTGCTACAGATATTCCCAGGTTCTGAATGAAACGACTTCATGTTTTAACTTCAACAGAATACATTTGGCTAAACTAAAATTTAAATGGTATATATATATAATAAAGGTCCCTTCTCAGGCTCAATCCAATCTCCTTCTATTCTCCCGTCTAGTCTCGATCTCTTCAGTCTCTCATGTCTCCCATAACCTTTAAGATTCCAGTTCCAGGGCCGTAGCCTCCGGGGGGGGGGGGGGGGGGGAGGGGGGGGCGGCTGCCCCCCCTGGGGATTTAGAATTTTCCACCCTGGTAGGGGGACCCCCCCCCCCCCCTCGGGG